GTTTACTATTTTATACTACTTCTGTGATATTACTACTACTTCTACTTCCTGTTATCTTCTTCGTCTTTTTCACCAGTAGAAACAGCCGGTTGTTGATCACGTGACTCCTGTGATGTGAAAAAAGTGTTTCCATTGCAGTTTTGCAAAAAACACCAATTTCAATATGACCAAAAAACCACCTCATCCTAACGCAAAAACATTTTGTCGAAAAACGTATTTTTTTTCCCGAAATTGACGTGTTTCCATTGAGCAAATTTATTTTCGAAATTCTAATTTGTGCATTTTCATGGTCAAAGGAAACGCAGCTTCTGAGACCATTGCTGATGTCTTTCTGCCTTGGCGTTGTGTTAGCACACACCGGTTTGCTCCAGAGCAGCTAAAGCTTTATTAGAGGCAGCAGCTTTTATTTAAGCTATTTAAGCTGCAGAAACTGTGAAGCTAAAATGAGGTCGTGTGCATTTGTCTGCAGTGCAGGCACTCACACGACACGGCTGCTCGCAGTGCGCCCCCTGCCAGCCAGCCGAGCATTTACAGGATCCGTCTGCAGGGTTGCACTTGGCCCCGTTGCTGCAGCGGCAGGTGGCGTTGCATCCGGGGCCCCAGGTCCCCTCAGCGCAGGGCTCCGAGCAGTCCGGACCCCTCCAGCCTGCAGACAGGTGAGAAACTGTGACGTGATGTTTTACCTGCCTTCTAAAGCTCCTCTATCAGAGTTTTATTTTACCCTCTTTGCAGAAGCAGGTCCCGTCGATGGGCGAGCAGTCGATGAAGTTCTCACAGGAGCACTCCACAGAGCAGTTCCTGCCGTACGTGCCGCTCTTACACGGACTCTCACAGTGAAGACCCTGCAGCAGAGAGGAGAGGAAACCCCCCGACCGGTCATTTCTGAGACTGCACTTTAGTTTACTACACGACACCTACACTGATTCTCCTGAAACAACTTCTAACTGAAACGAGTGTTCAGAACTGAGCTTAGTTAGTTTCACAAAGAAAATGATAAAATTAAAAAGGTGAACTTCAGTGCACGACAGGACTTTGTTTTTCTGTTTATTTCACATTGTTCTAGTAAACAGCACGCATGGACTTTAGATTTCTTTTTGTTTGGGTGGGGGTTTGTTTATGGAAACACCAGAAAAATGTCCCTTTTGTGTTCTGCAGGCAAAGCAAACGTAACAAAATCACAACCAATGTAAGATAGGGATGTAATGTTAATTCTGCAATACAAACTCTGTGGTTGTTTTTATGAAATCTTTATTTCAGAAAGCACGTACATATATTAAGGTTGCACGGCAATTTACTTTTGCTTTCAGATTTTTTAAATTTTTTTGTTGAAAAACAAAAACGATTTTGGATTTTATGTTAAAAAAATTAAGAGTAATATTCTGCAGGGTTCCTACAGCTTAAGGCAAATTACATTTAAGACTTTTAAAGACTTTTTAATGCCACTTAAAATTAAATTTAAATCCAACTTCATAGTAAACACAAATGGGATAAAACCCAGTTTTTACCAAAATGTTTAACTGAACACAAAACATTTAGCTAACAGAGGCATTTAGTCAATTATTTTAAAAATAAAATTAATGCTACCAATTATTTAAATACTTGAGACTAATTACATTAGTCATACTTATAATAGTTAAACAGTTTAGGACCTCTGAAAGATTAATTTAATACAATCTAATGTTAATTAAAACCTTAATTTGGATTAATGATTTCAATGCTTTTTAAGACTTTTTATGGATCTACATGAACTCTGTTCTGAAATGTTTTTAAATATATAATTTAAATGTTTTAATGAGATCTCCTGAGATCAAAAAATACCAAACAGACAAAAAGAAGAAGTGATCTGTTGTTCCTTGGCTGCTGATATACAGGAAGTGAAAAGTTCAACCATGAATTAATATTCAGTACAATTAAAAAAAATAATGTGCTTTATTGTCCTGTTTTTAAATATTTTAGATGAGGTTTCTATTAAAAAAAGAACTTTACAGCATGTTTTACCAGCCTAATATTTGATTTCCATGAAAACAATGAAATAAAGCCTTTATTCCCGGGTCAGAGGAGGACATGACTCCATGTTTTCGTTAATAATCTGGCCGACGTGTCGGACTCACCGTGAACCCCGGGGCACACCGGCACCGCCCCGTGGAGCTGTCACACACGCCTCCGTTCACGCAGAGACACGGCTCCACGCAGCCGTGACCGTAGAAACCGTGAGCGCAGGTCTCGTTGCAGTGAAGCCCCGCCCACCCCGGCTGACACGTGCACTCTCCTTTCATTGGATGACAGCTGCAGGCGGGAAACAAACCAAACCGTGAGGACGCCTGGACCCACCCCAGGAGGAGGACAGACAGGACAGCTGGACGGGGACGCCCACCTGAGCGTGTGTTTGTCCTGACAGAGACACCTCTGCTCGCAGTGCATGCCGTAGGTCCCGGGCTCACACATGCGGTTCTGGCAGCGCGGCCCGCTGAAGCCCGGCTCACACAGGCAGCTGCCGTCGATGTTGAAGCAGCTCGCTCCGTTCGCACAATCACACACGCCTTTACAGTCCGGCCCGTAAGACCCCGCAGCGCAGTCCTCGTTACACCTGCAGAGGACAGGGACACTGAGGGTCTCACCTGGACCAAAACCTGACCTGACACGTGTCTTTACTCACCTGGTCCCGGTGAAGCCGTCGGTGCACCGGCACTGTCCCGTCCTCGGGTCACACTTCCCACCGTTGTGACAAACACACTCCTCAGAGCAGTTCTCTCCAAACCGTCCATCAGGACAGGGTTCTGTGCAGACCGGACCCTGCAGAGACACGTCCCACAACTCAGTCAGTCCCACCTGGGACGAGGGGACAAACCCAAACCTGACACTGTTTCTGACTTGTCCAGAACTCTGAGCCCGCTGGGACAAGACACACATTTTATAACCTTTAATAAAAATGGACAGATGTCCTGAAGACGTACCGTCCATCCAGGAGGACAGGCGCAGACCCCGGTGCCCTTACAGGTCCCGCCGTTCTGACAGGGACATCGCAGCTGACATTTCTTTTTACATGTCTTCTCACAGCTGGAGGACAGGGACAGAAAGACAGAGACATGAGGACAGAGACAGGAGGACAGACATGAGGACAGAGACAGGAGGACAGAGACATAATGAGAGAGACAGGAGGAAGGAGACAGGAGGACAGACATGAGGACAGAGACAGGAAGAAGGAGACAGGAGGAAGGAGACAGGAAGAAGGAGACAGGAGGACAGACATGAGGACAAAGACAGGAAGAAGGAGACAGGAGGACAGACATGAGGACAAAGACAGGAAGAAGGAGACAGGAGGACAGACATGAGGACAGAGACAGGAAGAAGGAGACAGGAGGAAGGAGACAGGAAGAAGGAGACAGGAGGACAGACATGAGGACAAAGACAGGAAGAAGGAGACAGGAGGACAGACATGAGGACAGAGACAGGAGGAAGGAGACAGGAGGACAAACAGGAGGACAGAGACAGGAGGAGGACATAGATAGAAAAGCAGAGACAAGATGACAGAGGTAAAGACACAGAGACAATGAAACAGACGAAGGACTTAAAGGATGTCTCTGAACTCTGTGTCCTTGTGGGACATTCTTGAGGACAAACAAAACATTTATTCATGTTTTTCTGAATTCTGACAGCAGATGCTGACGTTTGAATTCTGAAATATGACAAAAATCTGACAAACAGATCAGATTATATGATAAAAGACGAACTAATACTCGTTGTCTCGTCCCGGGGACAGACGTGTCCCCAGCCAATCAGAGCTGAAACTTTGACCGCAGCTCAGGTTAGTGTTTCCTGCAGCTGAGAGGAAGGAGCTGATCACTTCCTGTAACTGCACCATGAGGAAGAGTTGGTGCTTCCTCTTCCTCAGGGGGGCAGCTAAACCAGGATGATTCACAGACTGCAGCTCGGACCACCAGGGGGTCTTTCCCTGCTTCACATTAAGCTGTGGAAAACTCATAAAAGGCTCGAGTCAAACCAACTGCAACAGTTCAGGTAATGAAGTGAGGAGTAATAAAGTGTGAAGCAAAGGTCTCCCAGCAGAAACATTTCAGTCCAAACAGGAGCCTGCAGCTCCACAACAACAACTCTGGGTTTTTACTCTGAACAAACTTCGATAAAAATCTTTACTTTAGATCCTCATCTCACCGAGAACAACTGAATCAGTTCTCGACTTTTATTCCAGTGGTGGATGTAGGATTTTTTCCGAGTAAATGGTAATGGTAAATGGACTGAACTTTATAGAGCGCTTTTCAAGTCCCTCCGGACCCCAAAGCGCTTTACACTAACAGACATTCACCCATTCACACACTGATGATGGCAAACTACACTGTAGCCACAGCRGCRCTGGGGCACACTGACAGAGGTGGGGCTGCCATGCARCGGCGCCACCAGACCCTCTGACCACCATCAGTAGGCAAGGTGGGTGAAGTGTCTTGCCCAAGGACACAACGACTGAGATGGCTGGACGGGGGATCGAACCAGTGACCTTCTGGTTCCAGGACGACTCCCCTAACCACTCCGCCACAGCCGCCCCAGTAAGGGGCCACTTAAAAACCTGCTCACACAAATCCTCAGTTTTGGTAAGGTGTACACATTTAACCTGTTATACATTTTTCAAACACTTGTAATGTCATGTAATTTCTAAAAAAGCTTTCAAAATAAATTCTTTTTACCAGTTTTACTTCTGTTATTACTGCACATAAAATACTTTCAAACACAGCATTTGAGAAAATCCAGTCATTTTTCAGATGAAAGACTTTTTCTGCAGCAGGTTCACTTGATTCATGCTGGATGTTCCTTTGTGACTCTTTAGCGCCTCTAGTGTTTGAATGAGGAACTGCACCCAGCATCATCGCTCACAGGTAAAGAACAAATGAGTGACAGAACAGGGTCACTTAAGGGGGCCAATCAGATTTCAGCTGGGGTCAAAGCCCCTGTGGCCCCGCCCCTAGAACCGCCCCTGTTTTATTCTAAACTATTTTCTTTTTTTGCTCCTCGATCCTGTCCAGAGTCTCACAGGGACCCTGCCTCTCCACTGACTTTTATTGGTTCTGAACATTTTGAAGCACTTACAAAGTCCCGGTGAAGCCGTCCCGACACGTGCACTCCCCGCTGGATTTATTGCAGGACGCTCCGTTTTTACACTTGCAGGTCTGCAGACAGCCCCTCCCGTAGGTCCCCGCAGGACAGGGGTCCTCACAGAGGGGTCCGATGAAGCCCGGCGGGCACTGACAGGCCCCGGTCAGCGGGTCGCAGAGGGCCCCGCTCTCACACTTACAGTCCTGATGGCAGCCCGGACCCCAGTGTTTGGCATCACAGTCTGGAAGCAGAAACACAAGCTCTGATTTAAAAACTCTTCACATGATGCACGTGTACGGGGTGCCGNGTTCTGGTTCTGGGTGCTCTCAGAGTTTCAGAGACAGAGTTCAGTTTTTGGAAAAAAACATGATGTCATCATTTCTGCTGGATTCACCGTTTAACAATAAATCTTACAGAAAACTTTTACCTGCTGCTCCCGCCTGTCTCCCTTTGTCTTCTTTAGAAAACCTTTTAGAGTTTTCTATTTTCAAGATTAATACTAAAAACATGTTAGTAAATCAGAGCAGCGTGCAGCTCAGAGTCCTGGACCAGAACCTGGACTGCAGCTGCTCCAGCTGAGCCTGGCGTCACCATGAAGCCAGGTCAAAAAGAAAAAATCAGTAGGTCCTCTGGATGGTTCTTCTTTAGTGAAACG